CCTAGTTGTGCTTGCGGAGGTTGAGTTCTGGCTCTTTGGTCCCACCTCTCAACCGTCAATCAACTGATGTACAGATTCCTGAGCCTACTGGGCTCTATCATATCTACATTTGAAACTGTGTATGGAGTCAGCCTCCACCACATCACTGCCTAATGTATTCCATCCGTTAACTACTCTGACACTCAAAAAATTCTTTCTAATGCCCCTGTGCGTACGAGCTATGTTGTTATTATACTGTAATTTTATGTAAACTTACCCAAATTATATATGTACAACCATTTACAAATATGTGTAATTTAATTTGGTTCATTATGAATAAATTAAACTATCAAAAAACAAAAAAAACGGTTTGATCCTCTCATTGATGTCTGAAGCATAGGCTGCGGGAAACATGTCTCCTGGCTAAGTATTTGAGGCAATTTCATCTATTTCATTTAGTATATTTCTTCTTAATATTCTTAATATTTCTTCTATTCTTAATATCCATCCTCTTACGACTGGTCGGTAGAGAAGAGTAAAGGAAAGGAGTAATCAAACAGAACTACATTAGAGAGAGAGGCAACAGACAGCAATACACGGAAGGGCAGATAGCCTAGTCTGATCATGCTTGCTAAGAACATTAGAGCATTTAACTATGCGCTGAGAAAGGCAAAAGTCAACAGCAACAAGGCCAGGAATAAGATTCACGTTGGGCATGTTGCATGTTGGGCAACAATATGGCGTCTGTGGAGAGTAAAGGCAGGAAAGATTATTGTGAAAACAGAAAGACTCAAGTTATAGGATGGATCGAAAGGACGAAATTGATGGATCGAAATAAGTTCAGAACGGACCGAAACATCGTCACTCTCTTTTCATATAGTTTAAATGGCCTGGATTACATATAATCCAGGCCATTTATGTAATAAAGTATAGTCCGTCACACTATCGTGTCCCGTTGTAGTTTTCTTATCAGGACGGGGATTTGCCTCTTCCTATATTTACTTCCCTACAACTTCCCTTAATGTACTTTTATTTTCCGATACTCTGCAAAGTTCTTCCAATGTTCGCTCTTGCACATTGCCTCTCCTCGCTGTGCCTGTGGTCAGCCCACGTGAGCCTGTGGCCCTGACAGCTGAGTGGATAGCGCTTCGGATGCGTAGTCCTAAGGTTCCGGGTTCGATCCACAGTGGAGGCGGAAACAAATGGGCAGAGTTTCTTTCACCCTGATGCCACTGTTCACCTAGCATTAAATAGGTACCTGGGAGTTAAACAGCTGTTACGGGCTGCTTCCTGGGGATGTGTAACGAAAAGGAGGTCTGGTCGAGGACCGGGGCGCCGGGACGTTAAGCCCCGAAATCATCTCAAGATAACCTCAAGATAAGATAGCCCAGGACACTGTGGGCTCTACCACCGCCTCATGCAAGTGATAATTCAATTTTTGCCTGCTGCTCCAGCTCTTGACGAGCTTATCCTCTGAATTTGTACTTTTCCTGCTATCTTGAGGTTCTCTTGAGATGATTTCGGGGCTTAGTGTCCCCGCGGCCCGGTCCTCGACCAGGCCTCCACCCCTAGGAAGCAGCCCGTAGCAGCTGTCTAACTCCCAGGTACCTATTTAATGCTAGGTAACAGGGGGCATCAAGGTGAAAGAAACATTTTGCCCATTTGTCTCCGCCTCCACCGGGAATCGAACCCGCAACCTCAGGAGTACGAATCCGAAGCGCTGTCCACCCAGCTGTCAGACGCCCGAAGCGGTGCTCCAAACAAAAAGTTCCAAGTAGCACGGGCTATGGCGAGCCCGTATATATAGTAAGTCATAAACAGGATGTGTGCACCCCATACACATCCTATATGGGTGGTTGTGGAAACCTCGTTAAAGTTGTGACACTTAAAGAGTGTCCATCAACGACTGTGTATTAATAGTTGTGTTCTCATTTATGTATTAATATTATCTAAGTTCTATGTATCGTTAAGTGTAGGTTAGGTTAGGTGTTTAGGTTCTGGCGGCGGTGACTTGTCCTAGAAGTACGTGGCAGCTGCCTGGCGGTTTTGTAGTAAAAAAATGAAGCTTTTGAATACATAGTCCGTTAAAATTATTGAATACGTCTATAAGGTTGGCCAGAACAGACCAAATGGGCAGTTACTTTCACCTGATGTGCATGTTCACCTAGCAGTAAATAGGTACCTGGGAGTTAGATATTTACCACAGGCTGCTTCCTGAGGATGTGTGTGTGTGTGTGTGTGTGTGTACTCACCTATTTGTGCTTGCGGGGATTGAGCTTTGGCTCCTTGGTCCCGCCTCTCAACTGTCAATCAACTGGTGAACAGATGTATGTGTGTGTGTGCGCGAGTGTGTGTGTGTGTGTGTGTGTACGCGAGTGTGTGTGTGTGCGTGCGTGTGTTAGATAAATATATGTAGTAGACCTGATAGAGGAAAAAATAGATCGATTATAAAAGGCGGGGTCCAAGAACTAATAGCTCGATTCTACAGACACAAATAGTAAACACAGCTTGGACGCCCTTAGCCTGAGGCCGGGGCGTCACAGGCTGACCATGACCACGTCACTGCCGGATTCAGGAAGTCGACGCTCAGCCGTTCTCTTCAAACACCGTATTGCTCTTTTCCCTCTCATCTTTATGTATTTTTATATATATATAATTTGTAACAAAGCTGTGCTAGTCGAAAAGTTCTCAGCAATACAGAATTTATACGGAGTTCCCTAAACAAAAATTGCGTTTGTCATACCACAAATGCAGACTTGTTGTGGTGTTGACCTTAAAGGCCGTCAACCTTGGAGGGTTATCAAGGTCACCATACTACAAAAGCTTACTGACCAATTAATAGTTCAAGACAAGTAAAAACTCCTACTGTACGTGTTGCGGTATACCAGAGTGAGTCGCTAGGCTTGGAGGTGTTAGTCTTAGTGACTACTTTCAGAAAGTCTATTTCTCAGGGTTACCCCTCCGTCCTGTCCCTAATATGTCGCATTTTTAACGGACTCTACAAATCCGTTAATATTGTGACGTAACGGTGCTACTAGTTTAATTATTGCTACTTATCTATAGTGCCTCGAATACCATAGCTATAGTTTGACAGTCATAAAGATAATGAGACTATTAACACTAAACATTGGTAATAAGTCACTGGCTATTCTTTAAACATTTAAAACAATACAGCTAACCAACAATAACTAAGCTGTCGTAGACATAGGTTTAGAGTTGAGCCCAGCGGGCATGGCAGCCACCACGCCCTTCACCTCCCCACTGACTTACCCCACGGTCACCCGGAACAATACTAAAGCCGGTTGTAATAGTGTTCAACCGGCTATTTCAGTTACGGGCTCACCATAGCCCGTAACTGAAATGGACATGGACTACATGGACATCTCGTTCTGAGTAGCTAAATCTCAAACAACAGCAACGATTGTTTCAGTGCTCCAGTACTCTCAAGCACCAGGCCAGAAGCCACATACGAGGGTAGAAATAGCCTAAGCTACTCTATCCCTTTGAGATGAATTTCTTTCTTGTCTCAATAAACATACTTGAACTTGAAGGCACACGTTAGTTTATCCATGGGTCTTAACATCATTTATATTAGTTTATCCACATTTTGTAACACAAAAATGTGTTCCTAACAATCTGTAAATATTTCATTCAAAATGATTTGCTACCAGAAATTTTAGCCTTTTAGCCAAATATAACAATCTTGTGAATTTTAAACAGTGGGATCATAACTCCTTGTGTAAGCCTGTTGTTGTGTGTTGTGAATGAGTGGGTAGGTCACTCATCCACCCTCTAAAAGTGCAAGGCAAAGAAAAATATATTATTATAATATTTTATTTATATAAAATCCCTCTATGTATACATTTGTTGTTAACAAAGGTTTCATAAATTGTAGCTAAATATTTTTATTCTATGATTCATTATATATATATATATATATATATATATATATATATGTCGTACCTAATAGCCAGAACGCACTTCTCAGCCTACTATTCAAGGCCCGATTTGCCTAATAAGCCAAGTTTTCATGAATTAATGTTTTTTCGTCTACCTAACCTACCTAACCTAACCTAACCTAGCTTTTTTTGGCTACCTAACCTAACCTTACCTATAAATATAGGTTAGGTTAGGTTAGGTAGGGTTGGTTAGGTTCGGTCATATATCTACGTTAATTTTAACTCCAATAAATAAAAATTTACCTCATACATAGAGAAAAGGGTTGCTTTATCATTTCATAAGAAAAAAATTATAGTAAATATATTAATTCAGGAAAACTTGGCTTATTAGGCAAATCGGGCCTTGAATAGTAGGCTGAGAAGTGAGTTCTGGCTACTAGGTACGACATATATATATATATATATATATATATATATATATATATATATATATATATATAAACGAAAACACTACCAATTATATACGAAAATTTATGTCTATCATCCGATAGTTCAAATTACATTATTATATTATATAAGTATACAATAGAAAATTCTTTTATATAAGTATACAATAGAAAAAATCTATCTTTAAATGTGATGCAAAGGATTTATATGAAGGACATATACAGACACTTGGCGCTTATAGGTTCGCATCCCACCCACGGACCGAGGAGCACTGGTTCGTATCCCACAGAGGGATCGATGAACACCAGGTTCGTATCCCACACAGGGATCGATAAATTTGCCCCCAAATATTGCAGTCATTTATATCAATATATCACAGATTAATTCCCTAACGGCTATAACAAAAATAACAACAACACCTTTCTTTAAACGTAACAGACGAAGATTTTCAACCAGAATTGTAAAAAAAAAATTAATATTACCAATAACATGAAGCTGGAAGAATATTTGGTAATTATCACATGTATATACATCACGATTATGTCCCAGCAACTTGGGAAAAAATATGCACTATATATGCCATTGCATCACGATATGTATTTGACTTTTATGCAACGGCACACATGGAAAAAAGCTTATACACACACACACACACACATACACACACACACACACACACACACACACACACAAATAACTTTCGCCATTAATGTTTTCTCATATTTTGCTAAACATATTCATCCAGTCAACTCTCACACAACCGACTCAGCCCTGTTATGAACACTAAACCAGAATGCTTTGTGCAATGGTTTATCCTGGAGCCCATGGGTGAAGTGTGTACAGATAGGTCATCCCAGCGGACCCAGTCACAACCCAGATTGGCAACACCGACTGGTAATCTGAGTGATTTTCTTTCAAAATTACGGAGACTGGATGGATGGGAGGTTCCGTAACGGATGACAAACGCCGTAATAAATGAGATAAGTTCCAGATTACAGCTGTAACGCTTTGTAACGCAGGGAAAATACTCTCACTTAGGCTACAACATTATGCAAACTTTCGGTAATGCATAACTGTGTACTCGGTACAACTGTATAGTCAATACAGCTAATACCTTTTTACACTGTCTTCAATGATCAGAAAATATACTTAAGACAACTCCTGTTACAAAGATTAATTGTCTTACACTTGTCCGTGCCAGCAATGATTACCCCTTGTTACGTGAAATTGTCTTCGGGTGAAGACACTAATTATACTCTGGTACCAACACTACCGGAGCTCTGTAACTACTTCATACACAAGAGTACTTTAGATATTTGTGTGCTGTACCCAGAGTTTGCTAGTGCAGGGTACTAGAGTGGCATCTCATCTTTTTTCCCAGATTCCATGTATGAGTAACCATCCTGTGACACGGGCGGGATATTAGACCAACCCACAGCTGCGTTATTACTCCGTAATAAGTACATTTGTTCTCTTCTCTCAGAATGTTTGAAAATTTGTTCTCTCAGAATGTTTGGCAATATGTTTATTGTTTGTGATGTGTGTCTATGTATGTATTAACACGATGTACTGAACGGGGTGAGAATAGCTTGAGCTACCTCATCCCTTTGTGTGTATTTTACCTCAATAAACTTATTTCAATTTCAATTACTCCGTAATCCCTCATACAGAATAGGGGCAGCAGCAGCTCACTGTGTGTGTGTACCTAAGCTTGTTAACAAAAATATAAAAACAATCCATGGAATTTTCCTTAGTCAATAACGCTCTAGCTCTGCAGCATTCCTAACTTGCTTAGCGCGGGAGCATCCTTCGTGTTGCAGCCACATCCAGGGAACAGTGGCCTTACAGGAAACGTTACTTGACTGGTTGGGGGGGTAGTGATGACCACGTGGGGAGGGGTGATGACTGTGTTGGGGGGAGGGGGGGGATGTTGTTGTTGTTGATGACTGAGTGTTGTCCGGATGCTGGGTTTACCCGGGCATGATTTTCTGAAAAATTGTTTGGCATACGACATTTTCCCCCGGACTCTTTAACCGGAAACCAGGGGGCACCACCGTCGGTTTGGGTGTAGTGTTGGCAGCCGTGTGATTGGGTGTAGTGTTGGCAGCCGTGTGATTGGGTGTAGTGTTGGCAGCCGGGTGATTGGGCGTAGTGTTGGCAGCCGTGTGATTGGGTGTAATGTTGGCAGCCTGTGTAGTACGTAGATGTGCAGGTTTTGCAACATAATAATATATTAAGTTGGCATGCGTGTACTCTTATGTAGAGTTGACACACCTGCAATGTGTAGCGGTTTTGACACCCGTATAATGTATTACACTGTTGGCACGTATGTATACTCTGTTCTGCACTGTTGGCATGTATGTATACTCTGTTCTGCACTGTTGGCACGTATGTATACTCTGTTATGCACTGTTGGTACCCATGTATAATGCTACACCATTGGCATCCGTGTATAACGCTGCACAGTTGGCACCCGTGTATAAATCTGCACAGTTGGCACCCGTGTATAAATCTGCACAGTTGGCACCCGTGTATAAATCTGCACAGTTGGCACCCTGTTTAATGCCTCACTGGGAGCAGCCAATAGAGGTCGTCCAGCTGGTGGGTTTTTGTCGCTTCCCCAAGGCCAATACTGGACTCCGAGACCCACCTGGCCCGTCCATAACTCTAGCGTTAATAACTCCGGTCACGACCTTGTATTTGCAGGTCTTGCAATACCAGCCGTTCATGTCTGCACCAGTAGGCAACACCGCACGCAATACCTCCTTGAGCTTGTTTAATAGCTAAATCATCCCATTGTTCAAGCGAGTCCGCAAGTCTGAGCAAAGACACATTGTCTTACCAGTACAATGCACAGCCGTCGACACTTGCGTCTTCAATAAATAAACAGAAACGAATCACAGTTGCTACTAATATTTACACAATGACACATTCCATAACTGGGACTCGACGGGAATATGTTTTGATTGTTAGGAGTTCATTCCCACTGGTTCATTCCCACATGTAGTCTGGTATAACACTGAAAGCGGTGGAAAAACTGTACAAGTATAGACACATTTACACATTTATATACAACAGTTAGCATAATACTACGGGCTAATGAGTGGATTTCCTCCACTCGTAGCACATGGTCTATAGTTAAACACGCCCTTGGAGCAGCAGCAGCGCCGCTCCCACCACACGGAGTCCTGTTTGTCTTCGTGTCTCCAGCAACAGAAAACACTAGGGGGGGGGGGGCCATTGAACACCAGCGCTGGTGTCGTAAAAGCATGGTACTACTGACGCACTGTCGCCCCGCCGTACCTGCCAGGAGGTGCTGAGTTTGTTATAGCGTTCTTAGGTTTGTTGGCGTCAGGGTGGAAGTCGGTCAGTGCAGGGCGTCGAGAGATGGGGTGCTACACCTGGTGACGCCAAGACAGGAGCACCTCAGTGACCACGTGAGTCAGGGCGCCCTCGTAGCGACGGCAAGTCACTGACCCTTGGCCCTAATTGAACATGTGAGTCAGTACGCCCCTGTTATGAAGCCAGGACAACCACATTTAACCTTACTGACCACGTAATTAATACTGTGAATTCAAATTACCTCATCGTCTTTTCCGTTGGATTTGTTCTTTGTAGGCACCTTTGTAGTGGGAAAGTCCAGCTTTTCATTTTAATCCACTGTGTGGCAAAGTGTCGTAATACTGGCACATGCGAGGGAGATCTCTGTCTAGGAATGGTATGGAGGACCCTCGATGCTCACGTCCTGTGCAACTGGCCTCTCGCGGGGGTCCCAGACGCCTTCATCTTTCCTTCCAAGAAGGCGATTTTGGCGCTAATAGAAACCGCCCCCACATTCTCGTCAGCCGCAGGGGTAGAGTCTGGTGTCAGTTCAATGATGCTGGTGTCTGGCGTGCTAGTGTTGTCAGGTGATGCCCTACCGCGTGAGGGTAGGAGAGCCATCTTCAGAGGCGGAAGGCCCTTGCCCTTTTTAACAACGCCAGGCTTGGGGAGTGTGGGAGGTGTGGGCTTGGCGGTTGTGGGCTTGGTTGGTGTTAGTGTTGGAGCCACAACATCAGCTTGTGGACCTTTACTGGGTTTCAAAGCTACTGGTGGTGGTGTGGGTTTCTGGATTATGGGAGGGCTTGAGATGACATCGGCCCACGGGGCTTGGGTAGGGCTTTGGGTGACGTCAACCAATTGTGTCTTGGGTGCTGTTGGCGGAGGAGGAGCAGGTCTGGCGATGACAGTAGGTGACGTAGGCCCAGTGCCTGCCTTGTCGCCCTTGTCCTCGGCTGACGGGGAGCTGTTCGTCAGATTAGCTGGAGGTGGCGGCGGCGCTATTCTGGGAGCCTCGACCTTAGGACGTGCTGGGGAAGTGAGGGCGCGTGATGGGGGAGGGAGGCGGGCGGGAATCAGTGTGTCCTGCAAATTGCAGTAAATAGCATCAGACTCTGATAGTTCTTGCACCGGTGTGGTGGTGTGTAGTGTGGTGGTGGAGCTGTGTGGTATCGGCATAGGAGCTTTCATCACCACAACGTCTCCATCTCCCCGAAATCCGTTGTTTTCTACCTTAGCAGCAGACGGTGCGCCGGGAAGGGCACCATTGTTTAGCTTGTTAGGCGGTCTGTAGGGCGCAGGTGTCTGGTGCAGGAGCCTCGGGGGCGTCGGGAGCCTGTCGGCGGACTTGCCTTTGGCCCTGACGGAGGCGACGAGCTTCTGGAGGTCAGTGGTGTTGACATAGGTGTTAGAGGTCTCATCCAGGTTGGTGATGTGCGCCACGTCCTCGACTCGCAGCTGGTACTTGGACTCCTTCCCCGAGTGCTTGGCCTGGGGGTAGAGGGGGAAGGTGTTGTTAGTCAATGGGTTATAATTATACATGCGCACGCTCGTTTGCACGCATACACATACGCATGCCGCATAAACCAAGTAACACGTTTGTTTAAGATCTAACCAGATTGAAGACTTTGTATGGGCGACGGCAGACCATAAGATATTGTCATGGTTACTGAAAGAGACAACAGGCATAGTGTAACCCACTAACTAGTCTATAATGCAACATTAAACAATGCGGAAGGGAAGGGAATTATTAGCACTTGGAAGGGGTCAGAATAAAGATTTGGGATGGGACCAGGGGGGGGGGGGAGGGGAAGGAATGATGCCAAACCACTTGGGCGGTCGGGGATTGAACGCCGATCTGCAGAAGCGAGACCGTCGCTCAATGCGGAGATCCCGGACATATGGACGATTACATTGTGCTTATAATGAAGACAAGGGACATATAGAACACCCTAAACTATAGACTATCATCACTGATTGTGAATTCCCTGTGTACTGCAAACAAAAACAATCGATAAGAGGATTGTGAGAGTACCTTAAGAGGATATCATATGTAACAGACATCATAGTTTTAGATGAGGCCAAGTCATGCATGGCGAACCTGATATATATATCTAAGACATTTATCACAAATGCGGGAAGCTTGCTTCTTTCTAGACGGCTGTCCCACATATAAAACTCGTCTCATAAGTTGGAGAAAGGAGACTGGAGTAACTGAGAGAGAATCAGAGTGGGTAAGGGACTACCTGGTAAAACAGGTAGCCATAATGAGAGGACCTGCACTGAATAAACGTTTATAAAGCACAAGAAAAAGGTTCAGAAGATATAAATACCTTCTTTACGGTATACCATTATAACAAATGGTATACCATTATAACAAATGGTATAATAAATACCATTTGTTACGATATTGGTGTCAGCTGAGAAACTAAGCGATGACTACTTCCTCAGGGATCTCTATCTTAACAGCACTAGAAGAGAGGGCCACAGGAATTATGACCATAACAAAGATATATTTTTCCATCAGTGGGCACGGGAGTAGATGTATTCTGTCTGTTTGCAGACTAAGAGCCCTCGCCCTCCCACAGCTAGGTGGGAGGTTTAACCTTATCATCTTGTTTTCCTCCAGAACACGAACTGTTAGCCTAGTCGCTATATAAACAGGTTCCCAGTACACACAGAAATCACAATAGCGTAATGCATCAAATGAACAAATCCACAAATGAACAAGTGCATGGGGGAGTTGTGTAAAACCCTGATTTGTGTCTCGGAGAGGCTGCAGGATCCATGTAAGTTCACTCCAAAAAAATCTAGCACTTATGGGCTACTCATGCCTGTACCACCTCTTGGGTAGCTTAATCTTCAGCAATCAACTGATGTGTACAAAGGGATAAACGGTGAATAAATGCTGTCCAGTCGTCGTATCCTGCTCAGGGTGAGTGGATAGGACTGTGGGGCAGTCGTCCCAATGCTCAGGGTGAGTGGGAAGGACGGTGTCCAGTCGTCCCACAGTGCTCAGGATGAATGGATATAGTGGTGTCTAACACAAAACATGACAAAAGCAATTGAAGAATAGACACGGTGGGGGAAAAAACTGTGTTCATATGAGAAATATAAAGGAGAAGCAGACAGGCATTGGAAATACAAAGGATTCAGATATATATACAAAAGTAATAATTTGCCTTACAGCGCGAGCGGTAAGCAAGATGAATAAGCTTCGAATAGAGGTCGTGAAGCTAATTAGATTCACAGCCTCAAGAGCACGTGACTGTATTAATAATTTCGGGAGGTATGAACTCCCCCATTAGCCCGTGTTACATGGAAATTTTGTTCCGTGTAGCTGAATCTAAAACAACAATATGAACACACCAGGTACAACTGCTATGAGGCAGGGCCCAAGAGCTAGACTCCGCTCTTCATAAGTATAATCATTAAGCAAACACACAAACAAGCCAAAAAGTCTTATGCCATCAGCAAGGCGGCAGTATGACCTGTAGACCCACTGTGTACAACGCAGCACGTCTGTGAGACATCACCAACAAGGAAGTGCTTCACTACTCGTGCACACGAACCTCAAGGGTTGAAAACATCAACATTCATGTTGATGTTTTCATGTGACGATATACACGATATATTCTTCGTATTGGATTTCTGTCAACAGTATACCCTAGCTGCTGCTAAGCCTCTTATTTATTTATCATCATGTCTGTCCCAATCCCTCTTTCTCTCCTAAACGTTTTCCTTTATCACCTGTCTTCTTTAATTTTATACCTTTCTTTGTCTGAATTCCTGTACTTTCTCCTTCCATAGTTTAACTCTTTACCCTCTTCTACTCCTACATTTCTCTGTTTGCTCTAACCCTCTCTCTTGTCTCTCAGGCAGCTTCACCGCTCTTCCTCACCTTGTTCAACTTCCGTCGTAGCACCAACATATACACCAGCAGCAGCACCAGCACCACGCCCAGAACCCCGCCCACAGACCCGCCTACCGCCGCGGCGTTATTGCTCCCAGAGTTGATAGTTTCCGTTACTTCCGGAAGCTCGCGAGGCGGGTCTGTGGCGGGTTCAGGCAAGGGCGGCGCAGGCGGCCGTGGGCGGGGTCTGATTGCTGGGCGGGCTGTAGTGGGCGTGTTGGGCCTCCCGAACTCTGTAGAGACATGAGGGGAAAGTGAGTTAGTTTAGGGCGTGTATTAAGCTTTCCGATCATGAAACTATATAAGATCTTACAAAAGCACCCGCAAAAGTTGTGAACAACTTAATCAATTAATGTAAATAAAAGGATACAGTAAAAGGAGAAAGGATAATATAATGTTCTATGGTAAAGAGGTTTGAGAAATATTCAGGGAAATGCTAGATAACTCTAGCTCCAAGGGAAGGCTCGGTTTCCGGTCAAGGGAAGTTCTCTCAAGGAATATTTTGTTTAGTCACGTATCATTCCAGGTACTCGTGACGAGTTTGATTAAGTCCATGACAAGGCAATGGTTTCCCGCTAATTTTCTCAAGAGCGCTTGGACGATGGTTCACTTAAAAGCTATTGAGTCCGTTCAGGGAACCACACTTACAGTAGCTTATCAGTAAATAGTAATTATGCTATTATCACAACTATTACTATTTATGTTTTTGCTACTGACAACTGTTGTAATTACTACAGATTCCATATATAATAATTATTGACATAATTTTTGTTATAGAAGATCAAGTGCTGATTAATATTATATATTAGTTGTTAATATATAAACACTATTTCTATCATTAAATTAAATATTATTATATGATGCTTGGCTTTTCTTCATTTGTTCCAAACAATTCACAATATTTGAAACATCGTATGCATGTAGAGTTAATAGCCTAGTTTAGTTCCCACATACGCCCCCAATTAATCTGTTTATCTGAACCCAGAAGATTCTTAACTGAATTAATTAATCTATTATCTGAGCCAATGATGGCAGCGCCAGAATAACACTGACGCAGTAATGCCTTGCTTGCATCTCAGTTAGTCAGGGGGGACTCAGTCAGTCCCCCTAGTGCATGTAATGACTCATGGACTGTTGTTCATTAACATGGTTGTCCTCCCCTCCCAACGTGTCTGGCTCCCTGGTCCGGCTCAGGATATATTGCGCTATAACTGAGCTTAATATACGTAGCCTATTATGTGTTTATAACTGAGCTTAATATACGTAGCCTATTATGTGTTTATAACTGAGCTTAATATACGTAGCCTATTATGTGTTTATAACTGAGCTTAATATACGTAGCCTATTATGTGTTTATAACTGAGCTTAATATACGTAGCCTATTATGTGTTTAAGACATTTACTGTACTTCTGAATATACCACCTTGCAAGTTGTTGATTTTCGATTTTATTTTTATATCCTGGTGACTGTCGATGAGGTTGTCTTCGTGGTCTACAGGTTACATAGCCATCACAATCAGGCTGATCTGGTACCTATGTAGATTCTTTGTAGTATGTAGTATCTTTCCGCTATGTAAAAATTTCATTCCACAGGTTTGGGACCTGATCTTTTAAGTATTTTTCATGTATATATTATGCAATCACTTCTACAAACGTACTCATATCGACAATTTGTAAAAAAAAATTGGGCTGCTGTACCACCAAAATTTACGTTTGTACTACTGGAATACACCAAATGGCATGGCAAGAAATGTTAACTACAACCTAACCCAACCTGTTTTAGGCCTAAATTGAACTGTCTTAGGCCTAATATACGCTATCGTAGACCTAATTTAGTTTATGTATGTGGTATACTAGATTAGGCACAGTTTAGGTTTGGTTGTTGCCTTCTTCCTCGTGTCATTTAAAAATTAATAGAACAAAATGTGAACTTTTTGGGTGCAACACCATTCTTGTACGGTCGACTAATAGCTGCTATATGAACTATTATTTTGGGATAACAGGTTGATCTCTCTTCTCCATTGACCATTCTAAGGAGTACCATTTTAGTACTCACCTAATTGTGCTTGCGGGGGTTGAGCTTTGGCTCTTTGGTCCCGCCTCTCAACTGGTGTACAGGTTCCTGAGCCTACTGGGCTCTATCATGTCTACATTTGAAACTGTGTATGGAGTCAGCCTCCACCACACCCTAGTGTGATCATATCGTAGTTCCGCTATTATTTTTAAAATATTCTAGTTATGTCCACAACATTACACTAGGTTCGAAAACACCATAAGGACGTCGGCCTGTTTTAATGTCTTTGGTGTCGTAATGGGAATGATGCAATGCGAGTTTTGTTTTGCATATTTTAACACAAATACTACAAGCAGCCGTTTGTCAACCCCAATAATCTTTATACTGTATTCAAACCATTGATATTCGGTGCATACTGCATATCCTGAAATTTAATTGGAAAGGGAGTGGTGTGAGAGTCACGAAGGTGAAGGCTGAATCACAAGTCGAGGAGACTAGCCTAGCGAGCTCTTCGGAGAATCATCAACGACTGATTCATGGTCACTAGCCTAGGCTAGCGTCCGCTTCCCGTTTTCTTTGTAGTTTGTACCCAGGTATATCTAACTCCAGGAAAACATACAACTAGTGGTGTATCTCGGTGTATATACACTAAGAGTTTACTTTAGTTCTAGATTATGTTCAGAACTAAAGTATGCTTGCTGATCGGTCAGGAAGCTATTATAGTCGCTTTATTAACTCTCCACTTTGGAGAGGCAGACTTTGAGCCCAAAACCAACCAAATCTACATTATTATAATGCGTGGAGATTTAACGAATATTTTGTCTCACTAGAGAAGTGGTACAGGTACAGTTCTAGAGGGATGGCGCATGAGCGACATCCCTCCAGAACAATATGAGTCAAGGACTGGGCTGATTTGATGGTAGCGTGTTTATAATGTACTCTGTGTCCACCCTGTGGGCGGTGGTGGGAGGGTTACCGGTTGGGCACAGGAAATGGACCTCAGTGTTATGCAAGTAATCAGTTAGTTACAGCAGGTTCAGCTGGGATATTGGCTGTGATTAAGGAAAAAGTAATATTGATGACTGTAGAAACAAAATAACTAAAGTGAATATTATGATTAATCAACTGTTATACAGTTTTGGAAAGATAATGAACAAGATACAATAAAAAGGGAAGTTGAAAACGCGATACACAAGACATTAATGAATAAATTTGTAAAAAATACAATGCCATACGGCAGCTGTTATCATGTTCACTCGTTAAGAAAACTCGCCATTAAAATGTCAAGCGGCTAACCCTGTCTTATGAACATTGCAAGCACGACTCGTTGGGTAGAGGGGGGCGGGGGTGAGGTCAAGCTAGCCTTGGGATGATCGTCCAAGGATAGCGTGAGGTGGTGTGCAGGACTAGCATGAGGAGACCATGGCTAGGCAGGCACGCCTGTACACACACACACACACACACACACACACACACACACACACACACACACACACACACACACACACACACACACACACACTCGTACGTGACGTAGGAAGTGATGTGGTGGAGGCTGACTCCGTACACAGTCTCAAATGTAGATATGATAAAGTTCGAGAAGTTCAGGAATCTGTACACCAGAAGATTGATGGTTGAGAAGTGGAATCAAAGAGCCGAAGCTCACCCCCCCCCACACAAGCACAACTAGGTGAGTACACACACTCGGAGGGCCTCGCGGCTGACTGCTCGGAGGTCGCGGTCCTTAGGGCCCGGGTTCGATTTCCGGCCAAAGTAGTTCATAATTGGGTATGAGCTTAGCTCTTTCGGCCCGCCTCTCAACTGTCAATCAACTGTGTGTGTGTGTGTGTGTGAAATATGTGTAGTAGATATGATAGAGGAAAGATATGTTGGGAGTCAGTACATTCGAGAGATATCAAATAATATACACGTGGAAGATACTGGAGGGCCAAGTCCCAAATCTACACAGTAAAATAACAACGTACTGGAGTGAACGATATGGAAGAAAATGCAGAATAGAACCAGTGAAGAGCAGAGGTGCCATAGGCACAATCAGAGAACACTGTATAAACATCAGAGGTTCGCGGTTGTTCAACGTCTTCCCAGCGACTATAAGAAATATTGCCGGAACAACCGTGGACATCTTCAAGAGAAAACTAGATTCGATTCTAAAAAAAAGTGCCGGACCAACCGGGCTGTGGTGGGTATGTGGGCCTGCGGGCCACTCAAAGTAACAGCCTGGTGGACCAAGCTCTCACAAGTCAAGCCTGGCCTTGGGCCAGGTCCAACCCTGATCCAACTAAGACAAGTTACCCCCCCCCCCATTTGACCCCATACAATATACACGAAACAAAAATAATAACAATTGTGTATATATTATAAACAAATAATCTATTGTATTAGACTCATGCTGGTCTAGATCTTATACAACAGGCGTAGAGGTTTTCCAATATACATTCGTTTTGGTATGGAATTGCCAAGAAGTTGGGCGAGAACCATTGAGAATGAAGAACGCCGACCAGTAGTCGATATACAAGATGAAGGAAATCATGCGTACAGTTCATTCATTTTGGGTCCCATACCCAAATTGTACCATACCATAAATGTACCATACCCAAAATGTCCCATACCCCTCCATGGGTGGTGTCGGAGGGTCGTGATGACACATAATGGACTCTGGGACGAACTCCAATAATCGTTTAGAAAAGCAAATTATAACACTGATGAACTAATTGCACCAACAGTCTATTTACAGTTTTAGTTAGTTTAGTTTAATTAGTTCGTTAAAGCCACCATGCCCTTCCAGTGGGCGGTGGTGGAAGGTCTACAGTCACACTCATCCAGTGGGCGGTGGTGGAAGGTCTACAGTCACACTCATCCAGTGGGCGGTGGTGGAAGGTCTACAGTCACACTCATCCAGTGGGCGGTGGTGGAAGGTCTACAGTCACACTCATCCAGTGGGCGGTGGTGGAAGGGCTACAGTCACACTCATCCAGTGGGCGGTGGTGGAAGGACTACAGTCACACTCATCCAGTGGGCGGTGGTGGAAGGTCTACAGTCACACTCATCCAGTGGGCGGTGGTGGAAGGTCTACAGTCACACTCATCCAGTGGGCGGTGGTGGAAGGTCTACAGTCACACTCACTCATCCAGTGGGCGGTGGTGGAAGGTCTACAGTCACACTCATCCAGTGGGCGGTGGTGGAAGGTCTACAGTCACACTCATCCAGTGGGCGGTGGTGGAAGGGCTACAGTCACACTCATCCAGTGGGCGGTGGTGGAAGGACTACAGTCACACTCATCCAGTGGGCGGTGGTGGAAGGGCTACAGTCACACTCATCCAGTGGGCGGTGGTGGAAGGGCTACAGTCACACTCATCCAGTGGACGGTGGTGGAAGGGCTACAGTCACACTCATCCAGTGGGCGGTGGTGGAAGGTCTACAGTCACACTCATCCAGTGGGCGGTGGTGGAAGGGCTACAGTCACACTCATCCAGTGGGCGGTGGTGGAAGGACTACAGTCACACTCATCCAGTGGGCGGTGGTGGAAGGGCTACAGTCACACTCATCCAGTGGACGGTGGTGGAAGGTCTACAGTCACACTCATCCAGTGGGCGGTGGTGGAAGGTCTACAGTCACACTCATCCAGTGGGCGGTGGTGGAAGGTCTACAGTCACACTCATCCAGTGGGCGGTGGTGGAAGGTCTACAGTCACACTCATCCAGTGGGCGGTGGTGGAAGGTCTACAGTCACACTCATCCAGTGGGCGGTGGTGGAAGGTCTACAGTCACACTCATCCAGTGGGCGGTGGTGGAAGGTCTACAGTCACACTCATCCAGTGGACCGGTTTGGTTAGGCTCTTCAGTTACTTTTCCATTTCTTTATATTCTATTTGGGCTAATTAAAAAAAATACAAAACGTGAACTTTTTGTATTTTTGTCATCTTTGTACGATTGACCAAAGAGTTGCTATAGGTACTATCATTAGTGGTGGATGCCACCTCCAACAGGACGGGCACGGAGACTGGGATAGGTATGGGGTGCATAAACTACACGCTACTAGGGTCTAGGTGGACGTATCAGGTCCAGGCCGATGGATCAGGTCCAGGCTGGTGTATCAGGTCCAGGCTGATGTATCATGCCCAGGCGGATGTATAGGATCCAAGTGGATATATCTGGTCCAAACGGATACATCAGCTCCAGACTGATATATCAGTTCCAGGCAGATATGTCTGCTCCAGACGAATATATATCAGCTCTAAGCGAATATATCAGGTCCATTTAGCTGGTCTACGCAATGTTAACCTTTCTGTTAACATATTTAGCTTTATCCTCATTTACGCAGCTATCATAGATTACATGAACGGTTACATGGTTTCTGTCACGTGATACAACAACAAAAAAATCCTCATCTCACACAGGATGGTTAGTCATACAGGGGCAGGTGATCAGTAGCCTGCTCCTGCAAACTTTGGATGCATTATGAGGATGTTCTTAAGAACCCGGGAGAGGATAGACTATATTGCAAGGGGCAAGGTACCTTCTACAGGCAGGCCTGGAGGATCTTGTGACCGGAAACTCATTCGATAATGTGAGATCATGACGGCCTACGTTCAGGCCAATGCATGATTATCTAATTCGTAAACTGATACAGTAGGTATATTCTATAACATAATTACTTGGTATTTACGAATAGTAATACCAGTCGATTGCTGTTGTAGGCCTATATACCGTGTAGGCCTTCCTAGACAAGGGAGATATTCTGATGACAATGATGCCATGAGTCACCCCATCCTCCCCCCCCACGAACCCCTCAACCCTCCCCGGCCCTACCCACCCAACGCCCACACACACAACTAAACCAAGACCATTCAACCGCAAGAACACTCACAAAAAAGAACACAGGCGAGACATGGCGGCGCCTTCCCTCTTAGTGCCTTCTTTAAATCACACATCGCATGCTATTTCCCCCCCCCCCCCCCCCTTGAGTTGATTAGCAACAGCTAAATCTATCTGAAAGTTATAAACTCGCTTTTCTACTTACCAAAGTCTACTCCGACCCACTCTGCATCGTCTGACATGTTGAAGTAATTCTTGTTCTCGGATAACCCAGGCAGAGATGTACAGGATATTTTCTGTCGAAGACTCGTATGTTAACTATATTATACACTGTTAACTGCCTGCACGGTCAGCAAGGCATTACACACTTATGGGGAGAGTTCACAACTTTCATTTTACTAAAAAAATAATTTTTGTTATTGATTGAAGAAAATATCTGGTACACCCTTCCACTCGCCCCTTCTCAGCTCAACTGGGCTGCGAGTAGAATTGTGAATGAGAAAGAAAACGACAGATGTGACGTAGGGTGACTACTACGAACGGATGTCTGATAATGTTCATTACTTACATCACTAGCAACATCTATTTAATATCTGTATATACATAATTTTACTATATTTACATTTAATTATATATACTGCTTTTATAATGTAACTCGTTATACATGCACGCTAATATTCAAAGATGAATACAAGTTTAATTATCTCGAGAACTGGCAACATCTGGCAATACCTCCGTGACGTTATGGTGAGTCAGCTGAAGCTCCTCCCCCTTCAGGAAGACTTCATGGGATCTTTGTTTACATGTTCTCGAGAACGGGATAACCTGTTTACATTACACAAGAAACGATTGTTTCTAGACATACTTAGCCACGAGAAATATCAGCAATGTAAATAAACTGAAATTACATATTAAAAAGCAATAACCATTAAAATATAGTAAATATAAAAAAATCCAGTTAATATTCACTGTTTTACGAAATAGTTAAATGACTTTTATAATTATTATATTACCAATGACTCTAGCACTATTTGAAGGGATGTTACTGTGTGTTTTCAGTAGGCCAGGAAGTGTGGCTAACACAATCACCACGAGTAAAAATATTATTAACATCATCAATTTTGATTTATTAAGAAGCTTAGGTGCATAACCCTATCATCGGAACACTGTTCAAGAACACAATTCCACCTGTTAGTAACACCCAGAACTATATACACCCTGACACACCTCTCAGCAACACCCCTCAACTATATACACCCTATACACACACCTGTCAGCAGTAACACCCAGCACTATAAACATCCTAATATACAAGTATCAGTAACACCCTGACACAGCCCTGTTAGTGATACCCAACACTATATACACCCTGCCACACTTGCCAGTGACACCCTACACTATATACACCCAAATACACACGTACCACACGCCCATTACCAAGAAAAACAATCTAGACCCAGTTCTACTGAGAGCGGCAGCACTTGAGGCTATTGGCTCTGGAGTGAATACTGCGAGCTTGCGAGAGCACCTGTGTTTACAGTGACGGGTCACGGGCTGAGTCAGCAGGTTGTACCTCAGCGCCATGCACGACCTACACAAACACGTGCACATGGATTGAGTAATACATGCACGCGGATTGATCAACACGTGCACACTGATTGATCAACAAAAGTATACAGATTTATGAACCCATGTACACGGATTGATCGACCCATGTCAACTCTGCGACAATCTTGTGTCATCACTGACGAAGCCCTTGCGTCACCGTTGTCTGGGGGACCCACTGCGTCACCGTTGCCTGGGGTAACCCCTGCGTTACTTGCCTGGGGGGGAAACCTGGTTGTGACCGTTATGTGCGTTGGCTCAGGATGGATGCTGTCATTCTTGGGTAATGTCTTCACAGTACGAGGCGGCTACAGGATATCCTGAGGCTCCTGCAGGTCTGGTGTGACTCTGGGTGCAGTACCCGGCCTCTCCACTAACACGTTGCATTTTTTTTACGTTATGGTAGCTAACGTTAAAAAGGCAGCCTACAATGTCCAAGTAGCGCTGAGTCCGGGAACAGGCCAGTAGCCTCGCTCTCGTGTATAAAAACATATCTGTAATTAATGCAGGATGCAGGTCCCCCTCTGTTCATTCTTCTTCACGTCTACTCTCTACTCTTCACATACATCTACTCGCTACTCTTCACATACATCTACTCTCTCTACTCTTCACATACATCTACTCTCTACTCTTCACATACATATATAAAAGAATTAAGATTATATTAAAATAATAACATGAAATATAAAACATAAATGTCAGTCATGCCATAGGTCGGGGGTGGTGGGTGGTGGTGGGGGGGGGTAGTGGGGTAGGGTGGATGAGGGAGGGGGGGGAAGGGTAAAAGATGAGGTGACTATCAGGAGAAGGCACTAACTCCTAGGTGAAGGCAGAACTTATAGGAGAAGGCATTACGACTATATAACACTTGGAAGGCGTCAGAATAAGGATTTGGGATGGAATGGAGGAATGGAATGGTGCCCAACCACTTGGTGGACAGTCGGGGGATTGAACGCTGACCTACATAAAGCGAGACCGTCGCTCTACCGTCCAGTCCAAGTGGTTGGGCGAGAGGATAGGGAGGTGGTACTCTGAGTACGTCAGTGAGTGAACAGTGATCTAAGTGGTGAGTACAGAGAGTGAATGAGTCAAAGAATAGATTATATATTGACTGGACGTGTAGGAATCACTTGTGACTGGACGTGTAGGACTCAGCTGCGACTGGAGCTGTAGGACTTTCATGTAATTGGATTGATTGATTGATAAAGATTAAGCCACCCAAGAGGTGGCACGGGCATGAATAGCCCGTAAACAGAATGTAATTGGAGGTGTAGGCAAGATATGTACCGACAGTAGTATACAGGCGAGTGAGACACGTCGCAAAAAAAAAGAGAGATCAGTACGTGAATCAGACACTTTGCAATAATCGTCTGCGCGTGCGCAAGACACGTAGCAACACCCCACACCCCCCCACGTGGTCTCTTAAGTGTTTTCTCGGTTGGCGCCGCACAGTTAAGGGGATATAGAGCCGGGTAGAACATACAGCCAAGACGTTCAACTGTTACATGAACGATGAACAAGGAACATTTACGAGAACTTGTAATTGAAATTTTAGTCACAAAAAGTTGACGTCCTCTGCGAACCAACGGTCAAGAAGTGGGTGTAACTGTCTGTCAAATAAATACTGTATCAGTTATTGAATTAACTTTAGCGACATGACATTTGTGGAGTTACAAAAGCATTTTTAACTATTGTAACGACCTTTATGTATTTTAGTAAAATGTTTTTATCTTTTCATCTGCACTGTTTAATGGGTGTAATATGATCACTGATCTTTGACATGTTGTAGTCTGTACCTCATACCCAGTCCTTATAGTCTGTACCTCATACCCAGTCCTTATAGTCTGTACCTCATACCCAGTCCTTATAGTCTGTACCTTATACCCAGTCCTTATAGTCTGTACCTTATACCCAGTTCTTATAGTCTGTACCTTATACCCAGTCCTTATAGTCTGTACCTCATACCCAGTCCTTATAGTCTGTACCTCATACCCAGTCCTTATAGTCTGTACCTTATACCCAGTCCTTATAGTCTGTACCTCATACCCAGTCCTTATAGTCTGTACCTTATACCCAGTCCTTATAGTCTGTACCTTATACCCAGTCCTTATAGTCTGTACCTTATACCCAGTCCTTATAGTCTGTACCTCATACCCAGTCCTTATAGTCTGTACCTCATTCCCAGTCCTTATAGTCTGTACCTCATACTTCTCATAACAGGTCACATAATATACAAGACTGTTCGCCAACTGGTATTAAAACCAACCTAACCTAACCAAACCAAACCCAAGCTCGACGAAACTAACCCAAACCAGACCCAACCGAGCCTAACACATTCTAGCATAACAATATATTAGGTTTTAACAAATAGAAAACGAACTTTGTCGAATACTTTTGTGCTGGCCTTAACCACATCCTTGAGGGCGGGTGGCGGTGTGGCAGGACTGGGAACAGAGACTACTGATTGATTGAAATTGAAATAAGTTTATTGAGGTAAAATACACACAAAGGGATGAGGTAGCTCAAGCTATTCTCACCCCATTCAGAACAACGTGTTAATATATTCATTACTGGGCATTTTCTATAATGTAAATGCATGTTTTTATCTATTACAATTTTCTGCAAAATTAGATGTCGGTTAGATATTTAGGTTAAATTGACATTTGTATTTGCAGCTCGTGGGTGAAGCATTTAGCGAGGCAGTACTCATGAGTGGCAGTGTTGGAGAAAAGTTTGAACGTCATCAGTTGTGAGTTGTATCAGTCAATCCTCATAAGCCGACTTAAACTAATGGTTTATTGATGAGTCAGTATGTGAAGCCTCAGCCTTTACTCACGCGTGCGCCTGTATCCTCTCACCCAGTGAGTCGTAATTTTTACATACTCGACCATTCTGTTAAAAATGCCACGAATTAGAGAAAATAAAAGTACATTAATGTTGACGGTTTCCATTTATTTATGCATAGGTCTTTATAATTTAGGCGGGTTGCTTGACTTCCTACATTTCTACTGTAATTAGGCAGAACAGTTGCATTTTTTATGGAGTGGCACACAGAGCGGACGTAATGCTCAGCATTTATACCAATGTGCGAATTCGCTGCTTTAAATTCTAACGTGTTCATACAGCTATGAATTCGTTTCCATATTCTGATTCGCTAACTGCCTGGAGGCAGGCAGTGGCGGGTGCCAGGCAGTGCCGGGTGCCAGGCAGTGCCGGGTGCCAGCGTGATTGTCATCTCTCGTGTCCGCCTCTACTGAAGAAGACATTATGCCACGCCACATCTGCAAACACGCAACATAACGGTCCCTATTGTTACCTTGTTACAAAGTTGTTACATCTTGTTTTAAAGTTTTTATGACGTGTTAGAAAGTTGTTACAAACTTGTTAGAACGTTGCATCAACGTCGGAGTTTCGTCGTGTGTTTGGAGGTCTATATATCAACGAATGAACAAATCTTAGAGTACAGAGTTGCGTTGAATCCGACACAGCGGCGTTGAATCTATGTGACCATGCGACGCACGCAGCAGTAACAGAGTTCGATACTCTGTGATTACACACCACTTGAGCAGAGCATGACTCAAGTAGTGAGATCAACACACACAACCAGTTTTGTGGCCATGGCAGATATGACCTGTCCTCAGGGTGGAGGTACCCCTTGATGTAATCATTTCAAAACCACTACGCATTTAGTGCTGTTATCTACTCCCTCTCTGTGGCTAGGTTAGGTTAAGTTTTTATTGGGTTTTGTTTGGTTAAGTAAAACAGTGCATTATTCTCAAACATGTGAAATATGAAATTCAAAACTGTTTGCGTATCTTCTAAGAATTTGATAAAGAAAACGTATGCCTTAGGTCTTAATACAGAAAACGAGTTTACCATATAGTTTTTTATA